CCTGCTGGAAAACTTAAACCAGAGTTAACTAACACACAATTTGCTGAAAATCATGTGCTTAGTATTTACTGTTCCTCTTTGTTCTTTCCCTGAAGTTTTTAAGGAGTGGCTGGTTCAAGACTAGTGTGCAAGAGCCTCTAATGGGAATACATAAAAGCCAGCAACTTTTTATGTTGCCTTAATATGGTGCATTTTTTAATTGGGACAATAAATTATCTGCAGCTTTTTATCCTTTGACGTCTTTGCTCCAACTGGTCCATTAAAGTCAGCATTTGAATTTATTGAATGGGCTGATTCTTTTGGTTTGTGTTTGATGGCAAAGAAAAAAGCTTTACTTGGAGGAAAAAAACTGTCAGGAAAGCTGCTCTCTTTTTTTTTTTTCCTTTCTTTCTCTGTTAGAGGTGGTAGCTGTCTTATATGGTTTGGGTCATTCTTATAATGTTGATAAGTAAGTCTATATGCAAATACTTCCTCATGCAGTAATCATTGCCACATTGAAACCTCTTCTCATAGAATCACAGAATGGTGAAGGTTGGAAGGGACCTTAAAGCTTATCAGGTGCCAACCTCCCTGCTATGAGCAGGGACACCTCCCACCAGACCAGGCTGCACAAGCCTCATCCAGCCTGGCCTTAAACACCTCCAGGGATGGGGCAGCCACAGCCTCCCCAGGCAACCTGGGCCAGCACCTTCCTACCCTCATGGTGAAGAATTTCTTCCTGATGCCTAACCTAAATCTCCCCTCTTTCAGTTTAAAACCATTACCACTCAGCCTATCACTGCACCAAGTGGCAACACAGGAAGTTCCACCTCAAGATGAGAAGCAACTTCTTTGCTGTGAGGGTGACAGAGCCCTGGGCCAGGCTGCCCAGAGAGGCTGTGGAGTCTCCTTCTCTGGAGACTTTCCAGCCCCATCTGGACACGTTCCTGTGTGACCTGCCCTGGGTGTTTCTGCTGCAGCACGGGGGTTGGACTTGATCTTCAGAGGTCCCTTCCCACTTCTATGATTTTATAAAGGGAGATTAAGACTGGATATAAGGAAAAACCTCTTTATGATGAGGGTGGGGAAGCAGTGGAACAGGCTGCCCTTTAGGTGTATAATATTGGGACACCTTCATATTGCTTGATGTGTTATTGGACACTATCTGATTATTATTTAATGAAAAATATACTTGCCATGTTGTCTTGTTTTGGGGGACCAGTTAATCTGTACCTGGTAGGTTTGTAGCAAGAGAAGTATATAAAGAACTTTTTGTGTGTTTGATACAGCTGGCGTTTGCTTTCAGAGGTTTTTGGCATGTTTTGTTTTAGTGCTTTCTTGTCCTTCTCAGGTGGTGGGTTTCACCAGGACACCAACAGGTAGTTAATAGGGTTAGGAGTAGTTTGGTGTTGCAATTGTTGCATTACAATAATAACATTAGTTACAGGGTAGTGGTGCTTAGCTGGAGGTTAAATGTGAGGTTGTGGACTCTTAACTTTATTCTTAGATGTTCTTGAAAAGACTAAGTTCTCTATGTAGGCTGCTGTTCTAGGTGCATTTTCAGTAGCATCAAGCCACATGGCAGGATTGAAGCTGCAAAGGTTGCAGTCACACAAATGATGTCGTGACAACACTTTGACAAACAATTTTGAATATGAGTTTGGTGTTTTCTTGCCCCTGTACTTCAGATGCACTTTGTCCTGCCTGGTACTAGAGTGAGCAAGCACTGGAAGGGGTTGCCTAGAGAGATTGTCAAGTACTTGTCCTTGGAGACATGCAAAAGCTACCTGGATGTGGTCCCAGGCAGCTGGCTCAAGGTGGCCCTGCTTGATCAGGGAGGTTGGAGAAGGTGACCTCCAAACATGCCTTCTCACCTTAACCCTTCTATGCTTCTGTGATACCTGCATAAAACAGCTAATGGCTTGGGAAAACTTAAGTGCTGTGTAGAAATATTTCACTACTGTTTTGAAATTAATTTTAACTTCAAGTGGAGGAACCTAATTACTTTTGTAACCATTTTGATTTTCTTTTCCTCCTCTCCTAGTGCTGACTTAAAGCTCCTGGAAGAAGCCACAATCTCAGTCTGCAAGTCTTTAGGTGAGAAATGATGACATCTTCATGTTTTTGACCTGTGCTTGATCAGAAAAATGAAGAAAGAGCATTAATGTGCACATTCCTGTGTTCAGTTTTCTTATTCACTAGTAGGATTAAAGTAGAGTGTATTTATATTTTTTTTCCATCATGAACTGTATTCTAGAAATTAAAATG